ATTATTTAGAATAAAAAATCTTAACCAAGTTTTAGAATACGTCTCAAGGGTTCCGTACATATAAAGAACGTTGAAATCCGAGTTATAACGAAGAAGTTATGCCCGTCGAAGTTTTACGGCAAAACCGGCACGACACTGGGAGACGTAAATAGTGAATTTACGGTAGAAGACTTTTTAGCCTTAGTGATCTAAACAAAATTTGTAGTATACGTTAAACTGAGAACATACAAAAAAAGAACGCCCAAATCTGACTTCGTATGAGGAAGTTATGAATTTTCTAAGATTTGACATAGTAGTGCACGACCCGAAACTCGAATTTTAGATTGAGCGGTTTTTGGCCTATGCAACCTAAATGAGAATTGAAGATCTCATTAATAGGAACTCAACGGTAAAAAGACAGATGAAAACAGAGTCCGTATGTAGAAGTTATGAATTTTACGCGAACATTTAACAGTATAATCTCCTCGTACTGTTAAAATTAAGATCGGTCGAGAATTAGCTGACAGAGTCAAAATGAAAGTTGTAGATCTTATTTTTACCTACGCGTGGATATAAAGAACGTCAAAAACGGAGGACGTATGTGAAAGTTACGGATTTTAGAAATCGGAAGTGTGCTGTGCGAAAATGGGTGATGTGGCACAATCTTGGCCATTGCTTTCTCCCCAAGTCTTGCCACTAGATGGTGACATGTGGCACCAAGTTTAGCCATTTTTCACCCTATAAATAAAACCTCTCCCACCCTCATTTTCTTCACACCTTTCCCATTCTTTCTTCTCTTTACTCTCTCTCTAGAACCTCTCTCTAGCCCCGAACCCCCCCCCCCCCGAAAAGCCTAGGGAACCTCCCTAGCACGAGGCGGAAGCCCTGGAGTGCTCGACGGCTCCGAGAAGAAGAGCTTTTCGGCTCGGGAACGCTGCTCCAAGCAAAGCCCGATTTTCTATAAAACCCGCTGTAAGTGAGCTACGCCTACGCTATTTTTAATATAGCTTTTATTTAATTATAGTAACGTTATTAGGAACTTATAATAAGTACTTGGGCTATTATTATGGGTTATATAAGTATTGTTTAACGCTTATATACTAGTAATAATAGCTAGACTATTAATTAGTCTCGGCGAATAATAGACTAAACTCTAGTGGTAATAATACTAGGTTTCGTCGAAGGAAATTATTTTTTTAAGAAGCGAAGCATTGTCTGAGTTCGGAATCACCACATTTTCAAGTGAGTGCATAGTCCCTTTCATCTTACACATAAATATGAAGTATTTAATATAAATTACGTGCTATGTGTGCATATTGTCTGAATATTTGTTGTCTATGCTGGGTGAAATATTTTTTTATACATGTTTTAAATGTTTTAAACTGTATATGTATTTTATATCTACAAAATTTGTTGGGTAAAACATGGGTAGATGAAATAGTTGTTGTGTGATAACACGATGAAAAACCTCAAGGTTGACAGTGATCCAGTCATTTAGTGGAGTATAGACGACGACCACAAACTATACTAGACAGTCCAGTGGAACGCTAGTAGGCTCGTAACCTGTAGGTGTTCTTGAATTAGGTGCTCACTAGGTATTTTGAACTGAGTGTGTTCACTGGGTATTTTTGAATTAAGTGTTCACCAGGTATTTTGAACTGAGTGTGTTCATTGGGTATTTTTGAACTAAGTGTTCACTAGGTAGTTTGAACTGAGTGTGTTCACTAGGCAATTTTTGAACTGAGTGTGTTCACTAGGTATTTTGAACTGAGTGTGTTCACTAGGTATTTTAGAACCAAGTGTTCACCAGATATTTTGGACTACGTGTTCACCAATTGTAATCCATAAACCTTGGTAACGATGGACTTTGTGCCTATTTCATAGGATAATCCTTAGGAATGAATGAATGAATGAGAAATTGTTGATTCTTAGGGTAGACCCTTAAGTGTAAAGAAGATAATGGGGATGTGTAATTGGGTGATTGGTTGATGTTTAAACATAATAATTATATTATTGTGGGTTGAAAACCCTATGTACTCACCTGGTTTCCCAACCTGACCCACTCAAGCTTATTTGTATAACAGGTGTTGATATGAAGTTACATTACACTGAGAGATTAAAGAGATGTAGAACACTAGTGTAAATGAATGTAAGTTCTGTTTATGCTTATGTTTCTGTATTGACAATGACATCCCAAATGTTTTAAAATGAATAAAAAATACATTTCTTTGGAAATGCTTTGATAACACATTTATCATGTTTTTCTGGGAACAAATTCCGCAACATTTTTATTAAAAGAAGTACTCTGATTTTTATAAAGCATAAACAAAATCGGTCTTTTCTGGCCGTGAAAATGGGGATGTCACAAAAACAGGACCTAAAAACTCATAATTGCCTTAATCTTGGTAAAAAAACAATCAAAATTGGAAGCCATCACAAGAATCACAAATCAAATACAACATCACCTCAATGTTGGTAAAGAACAATTAACATCGGAACCCATCAAAGGAGACAACATTTTGGAGAAGCGTGGAATAGAAGATAGGGAAGAAAAAGTGAAAGACGGATACAGTGGAGGACGGAAGGAAGTAAGACGTATTAACAGAAGAACATGTATTGAAGGTCCGGTAAACTCTGGGAGGGAAGCCAGTTCCGCCGAAGCCAATGAACCTAAAAACCAGCCAGCCGACGAAAAGGCTATTTGGCTAGGCTCAACCATTGTCACTGTTCATAAGCCATACTCCTTTTAATATATACTAGTTTATAACTTGTAAGAACCACGATTATAAAATTAATTATACTTTCATAGTAAAATCTTAAATTTATTAATTAATTAATTTAAATAAATTATTAATTAAAAGAAATTTTTTTAGTTTTATAAAATTATAATCGTTGATTCAAATAAATACGTGAAATTATATCACTTTATAATCTGTATTAATTTTATTTTATTTTTTATTCTAATGTTATTAATTTAGTGTAATTAAAATGAGAATTTTAAATTTTGAAATTTGAAATGGAAAATTAACAAATAGCTTGACATTAATTAGGATGAATAACATGGTGAAATATGGTAAAAGAAAAAACTAGTCATTTACTAGTATAGTGATATATAATTAAAATATAAATCTACTCTAATAAATGAAGATTTTTTTGTCACATGTCATACTCTTATTCAATTTGTCAAATGTCATTTTGTGGTTATTTTGAATTAATTTTTTTTCCACATGTCATTTTATGAGTTTTTCTATTTTAATAAATTTCACATAATACTTTAATATAATAATTGCAATAAATACAATAATATATGAATATTAATTTCCCTAATAACTTACCTTTTAATTTCCAAATTCCGAAAATTAAAGTTTATTTTCTTTATTTAAATTATTTGTTTAAATTTAAAAGATAACAAAATATTTTCATTATAATAAATCATTATTTTTCTTATTTTCTTATAAATTCAAAGTTGTCAAATATTTTGATTTTTATATTTAACTTTTTTTTTTAAATTAATCCATATAATAAATGAATCTCACGACTAGTATAAAATATATAATAGTCAGGATATATATATATATTTTTAATGTACGAATCAAAACCATAAATAGAAATATCTTTTCCAATAAAATAAACTAGTTATAATGAAGAAAATTGCTATTTCAATACAAGTTAATAATTTTAAAAAAGGGTCGTCTTTTAATGAAAATGGTGAACAACCTCCAACAGAATCTCCTTAAAAAAAGTTTCCAAATTGATGAAATAAATTAATTTTAGGGCAAATGTCATATTAGACCATCGAACTTATCGTGTTTGTTTTAAAAGGTCACCCAACTTTTTTTTTTTTTTTTTGTACATTAAGGGAATGAACTCTCGTTTAACCCGTTAAAAAAGTCACTTAACCGTAGCAGGTTTTAATCTCGTTCTAGACTCATTTCGGTTTCTTATACCCCAATCTTTCAATCAATCCGAACCATTACCCTTTAAATACATCTCTTCTTCAACGCCACTCCAAAAATGGTGAACACCATATCCAAAATCAAAAAAACCCAGAACACCAAGAACAACCAGTCAGCAGCTTTAATAGATTCAAACGATGATGTTTTAATCGAAATCCTTCTCCGACTTCTTGTTGCCTCTGTTTTGCAATTCAAATCTATATCCAAACACTGTCGTTCCCTTTTGAGTGATCCGCGTTTCACCCTCCTGTATAAAAAATCATCAATCTCTCCTGGCTTCTTTTATTACAATATGTATATCTGATTTGTGATGTATTCAATCCCAACACCAGGCAATTTGTAATCATCCCATCGGTTCTTGGAGGCAAGGATGTTGGTAAAAATACCCGTTTTTATGGGTCTGGCATTTCATCGAACAGATTGTGTACACTTCAAAGTTTTTTGTTTTAATCTTGTTAAGCCTAAGGAGGACCTATTTCATATTAAAATCTATTCGTATGAGACATGAAAATGGAAGATTTTAGATGAATCTATTTGTGAATAGATCGTAATTAGAAATGGATTTCATGGTTGCAATCGAAGGTTTTAATTGATTTGAGATGAAGAACAGTTCAAAAATCAATGAAGATAAACTAGATGAATTTAATGATTCAGTGAAATTGAAATTGATTTTGAAATCGATATCTGAACCTGATATCAAATAGAATTTTTGAAGTAATGAAGTTTCACAGTCGATGCGATGGACATGGTGTCGGAACGAAGGCATATTTTCTCAATTCCATGAAGGCTTCGTAAATCATATGAGTTTGCTGTTTGATGGGTCTTGCAAATTGAAGCTATATTTGTAGTGATGGGTTCTGTTTGAGACTCACATTTGTGTTGACTCACAATTTGGGTGTATGATTTGTAATCGGAACGAAGGGTTGATTTGAAGGATAATTCTGGATGGTCAACAGTGTTTAAGGCATACATTTTACAGGCTTACTCGGTATCAGGTCAAAATGTTTTAAAACAGAAAAATAAGAGTTCATTCACAAAAAAAAAAAAAAAAAGTTGGGTGATATGGGCTAATATGACATTTGCCCTTAATTTTATCGTGGATGAGTTGAGGAAGAAATCCAGAGGCCAGACGACTGTAGAAAGTGGACTCCATGCATACAACTCCATGAAACCAAAACTTCCAAAAGTAATCGGAATCTTCTTCCATTGATGCTCTGAGAAATCCTTGACATCATCTGTAAACGGCACATATCAACGCTTCAGAGAATCTATCCAGGTTTGTTTCATCGAATCATTCTTCTAAATTCATCACCAAAGTTGAATCTGAAAATGGTAAAATTACTGATTATATTAAACTCTTGAATTGAATCTGAAGTAACTTGTCTAACGTAGAGAAAACACTGATGTAGTTTAGCTAGAATTTACAAGGTTGATTTACGTTTCTTCTAGGTGTAAGAGATTGAACTTCCACCAAATTACCGATCCCTTTGTTTTGAGATACAGCAACGATATAGCAACAAAATTGATTTCTGTTTCGTTTTTTCCGTAAAAAAGGAATTTCAAATGTTTATGTTGCGTTACCAAATATAGAAGATTGGTTAATCTTCCGCGTAATTCTCTTCAAATATCCGCGTTATTTTTCTCGATCATGTTGCTAATTAATCTGTTTCAGTTTTCACTATAAATAAGGGTTTTCAGGGTTTTTCGTTTCAATCATTCACAATTTGCTTTCGAGAAACTGTTTTCTAAACAAGAATATATATATCGGAACTCTATAGATTAATCAATGGGGGGCAAGAGTTCTAAGAATTCAAAGGCAAAAGGAGGGAAGTATAGCCAATCGACATCATCTTGTTCAAACAATCAGTACGGCGGTTATCCTTCGCAGCCATCTTCCTCTACTCCGGCCTACGGCGCACAACCTCCTAAACCACAAAAGAAGCTCGAGAAACGATATTCACGAATCGCTGATAATTACAATTCTCTGGAGCAGGTAACTTTTTTAAACTTTTCTTGTTAATTTGATTCGGTTCTCGTATCCTGATTCTTCACATTAAACTGATTTGAAATCTTCTGTATCCATCGCGCGTTTCTCTTGTATTGATTGGAATCATACGATCAATTTGAACGATTACAGGTGACACAGGCTCTTTCAAGCGCAGGACTCGAGTCTTCCAACCTCATCGTCGGCATTGATTTCACCAAAAGCAATGAATGGACAGGTAAATAATACCTTTTGAATTCCATCAATCGAAGTGAATCAAACATGCTAACATTAGATCATGAACACAGGTTCACAATCCTTCAATGGAAAAAGCTTACATCATATTTCAGATCATAGTCTAAACCCCTACGAACATGCCATATCCATCATCGGGAAGACATTAGCAGATTTTGATGAAGATAACTTGATTCCATGTTATGGATTTGGAGATGGTATATAGTATATAATATATATATACTACTTTCATGATTTCATCTAGTCTTCATTCTTTATAAAGATGTTAATTTTTTTTTTTTACTCTCAATTATCAGCAACAACACATGCGAAAGCTGTTTTCAGTTTTTATCATGAAGATAGATTCTGTAATGGATTTGAAGACGTGTTAAGTAGATACAGAGAAATTGTCCCTCATCTAAATCTTTCAGGTTCTTAATCTAATTTAACTTCTTTTGAGCTTAATCTTTCTCTTAAATCATAAAGTTAAACTTTTTAATTTTTTTTAATTTTGTGTAGGTCCCACATCTTTTGCCCCTGTGATTGAACAAGCTATGACAATTGTCGATCAAAGTGGGGGCCAATACCATGTACTTTTAATCATTGCTGATGGGCAAGTTGGTCATTCAGAAGAAAAGAAAACTATAGAAACCATAGTCAAAGCAAGGTAATTAATTAATTAATTAATTATCTTCATCTTTTAATAATTAAAATATTATGATTATCGACATTGTTGTTTTTTATAGCAAGCTTCCACTCTCTATAGTATTAGTCGGGGTTGGAGATGGGCCTTGGGGCGTGATGAAGGAATTTGACGATAATATCCCTAATCGTGACTTTGATAATTTTCAGGTAACCATAAATGTTATTATTATGCTAGCTTCAATATAATTCTTGTTATTTTATATATGTGTACTGATTTTAATATTTTATTTTTTTTGTTACACTAGTTTGTGAATTTTACAGAAATCATGTCAAAAACTTACTTGCCTTCAAATCGAAAAGAGACTGAATTTGCTCTTTCAGCATTAATGGAAATCCCTTCTCAATATAAAGCCACAATCGAACTAAATTTACTTGGGTATGTTGTCTTCCTTCCTTTTAATTTTCTCTTTGTGCAAAAAGACGTAAATACCCTCGATCATTTACATTAATGATGTAAATACCTTCTATCAAAAATAGCCGTAGAAAGCTTTGTTTTACTTTATTTCATTAATTTTTTTTTTTGCAGGAATCGCAGAGGAATACTCCACCAGAGGGCAGCCCTTCCACCGCCAGTTGGTCAACCATCCTCCTCCTCCTGTAACACCTCAACACCATCGCAGTCAACTACTTTTCAAAACAGTGGTTGTATTTCAAATGGTCAAACTAGTCAAAATGACACATCAGCATCAATTTCAAAATCCACTAATGATGACCAGGTATAATAATATGTTATATGATTTTTTTTTTTTAAAGTACAATGCCCCTGATAAGATTTAATTAAAAGGTACAATGCTTTAATAAAAACCATTATCCGATTATCTCCATTATCTGATTCTAATTTATAATTCTTATTTAGCAGTTATGCCCAGTTTGCCTTACTAACATGAAGAACATGGCCTTCGGGTGTGGACATCAGGTATATTAATTTTTCTTAATTTTTATTTACTTTAAATAAATCTTGATTTTGTGAAAATTTTCATTTGTAATATTTTAATAAAATTTATGGTACTTAATCTAAGCAGACATGTCACGAGTGTGGGGAATCGCTGCAACTGTGCCCAATTTGCCGTGCCTCAATCGAAACGAGAATAAAGCTTTTTTAAAAATTGGTTTATTTTAGCTACAACTAAATGACAATTCAGTTCTTTTGGTGAACATTTAGGTTTAATTTTGGTGAACATTTAGGTTTAATTTTGGTGAACATTAATATGAAAACTTGAAAAAAAAATTGATGTGGATGATGAGATTTTTTCAGTCTGTTATGATTTTAGTGATTTGGTATTTTAATTTCATTTATCTAGTGTAAGAAAAGGAAAATATTTGTATGAGTCAGGTTTATTTGGTGCATAAACTATTGAACGTGGTCAATTAAGTCCATGGAGTAAATGTTTGGATTAGCTTATAAATATGAGAACACAATAAGATGATAGCTAATTTTTGTTAATGTTTAAAAAAATCTAATTAATACATGTAAAATATAAAATGACAAAAATAGAAAATAATAAAAAGTTAAATTGTTATAATCAAAAGTGACAAAATAAAACTTTCATGTTAAAACATAGTTTTCATTTATACTAATTAATCTTAGGCTGCGTTTGGTGCGCTGGCTGAAAAGCTAGATGATAGCTGAAAAGCTAGCTGATAGCTGAAAAGTTAGCTGATGGTTAAAAAACTAGTAGCTAGCCGATAAAAAAGAGTATTTGGTAAAAACTAGCTGATAAGCTAAGCTGGAATATATAAAATTACATAAAATGACATTTTCCAAATAAGTTTTTTATAATTAATTAAATGTATATTTGGGAAGTTTGTAAAAAAACTCCTAAAAAGCTACTCCAAGTAGTTTTTTAAAAGCTAACTTATAAGTTTGTTTTTTGGCTTACCAAACACGACAACCCAAAAAACTAGAAAAATAAGCTAGTTTTTCAGCTAGCTGTGGTGCGCAAAACGCAGCCTTAATAAGTTAAAATTTGTTATTAAGTTAATGACCATTTTATTATATTATATTAAGACAAAATTGAGTAATCTACCCTATAAACAACGTCTTTAATTAAAGAAAATAACCATTTTTTTTTGTAAAATAATCATTTTTTTTTCTAGAATAGGATATTCTGAAGCAAATTATGGAATATCGGAGTAGAATTCCGGACAATTGTTCCGGAGTATTTTTTTCTTTTTCTTTATGTATGTATAATATGTGTTTGGTGATTTTGTATAATATTTATTTTTATAAAATCAAGAGATCTACAAAAAAGCAATTAATACATAAACTTAAATTTGTTTTAAATAATAGTACAATGTTCAAATAGACTTTATCTTTGTACCCCAAAATTTTTACACAAATCGTTTACGACATGACATGACCCATAACTGCTTTTACCCTTTATCCAATATGATTTTCCCATGATCAACATTTCAAAGAACCAACACAAAAACACCCCACAATCCCCTCTGCTGTCAATTTGTTATCGTACGTCTGGGCTTTTCAATGGTGATGTTGAAACTCTTAACTGGGATTGCATCAGTTGGCTGTAACCCAGTAGTTGATACTCACTAACAGTTTGTGGATGTGGGTTCGCATAGCTATAAACTAATCATGATCTTCTGAACAATAGTCGTACTTCCAGACTTTGAATGTCTTCAAATCCAAAACACTTTGAGCACTCAATATATTGATTGGGATGTAAAGCTACACAAAAGGTTGAAATTAATTAATCAACGAATAAGATTATATTATAAATTACTATTACTTAGGTAATGTAATTCAAACAAAATTATATCGTATCACACTTAGATAAAGCTGGGTAAACCGATCCGTCATCCACGTCACTCCGGTCAATGCATCAGTGTTGAAAGTTGATGGCACAACCATCCACTGAGCGTCATCATGTCTACTCTCTATCAACAACGAGATCCACATCATGATGTCCTGCCAATCAAAAAAATTACAGTAAAATAAGTATTGTTGTTAGAAGCATACTACGTAATGACCACATAATTATATAACTTACATCACATTCCAACTAGCCTAGGTGACTATCCGCATATAAGCGCGTCAAAAACTCAATCATCGAAATAACGGTCAAAAAACAGTGAGCAAACAACAAAGAAGCATCTCATTCTTTATATAGACTGTGTACGGGCCCCTTCTAAAATATTGTCCAACAATGCTGGAAGTTGTCATGCTACACCTTTCCTCTTCATTTATATCCATATGTACTTATACCATATGGACATAACTTTTTGGCACAGAGAACGCCTAAGAGGTGCCACATGTGTTTTGGATTCTTCCAACATAATCTCATTTACATCCGACAATTGAATACATGCAGACGGTTGCTCAAGGTCGTGATTCATCGGTTGTTCGGGTGTGCCAAACCCATAATCATGCTCCCATAACTCATTGTTGTCTGTGGTACCAACATCTTGCACAATGAGTACATGTACGGTTCAATAGTATTTAATTATAAACGATGCAATAAGAGGTATTGAATAAATTTAAATAAAAAATTTATGGGAGTGAAATAATTAACAATGTACCTCCAACCACTTTGAGGTACCAATATCATATTCGGGAGTCTTTTTAATAACTTTTAGAAGCATGGCTAAAGTAGCGTCATGTTCTACTAAACGCTTATCGTGTGACCTTAACTGCTCACGACATTCATGGAACTCATTTTGCAATTTACGGACCTCTTTTTGCAACTTGGTAATAATTCGGTCTTTATCAGTTGATGGTACAATGGGCATCAGTGGTGGTGGTGGCGGGTGAGATGAAACATCTATTCATGCCTTCTTTTGTTGAGGCTCATGGGTAGGGGAGTGTTTGGATGATGGTGTTAGGGAAGGTGCCCTGTGAACTGTGAACTTCCGTGTCAGGTAAATCAATCCACGCCGACCTAACTATCCACCATTCAACACGACTTTCAGCTTCTGTTGGCTCCAGCTTCTGTATACGTCTATTATCATGCTAACAAAATTACAAAATTTTAAATAAACATAAATTATACATATAGAATAAAATTATAAAATATATAAGTAATCATATGTCGTTGATTTTTAGAAACTCATTGCACTCAAGCGCTCGTAAAGGCTTCAGTTTCGACCATACAACAACCCGAGCGATCACATTCGGCTGCTGGGTACTAAACAAAGTGCTCATAGGAAAACTCTCAAGAATCCATAATTTAAAAAGAATTATGTATTACAATATTATCAAACAAAAAAATAATAAATTTTTAATCATGTACCTTACCTTAAAAGCATGTAAAAAACAGTTTAGGGTGTGCGTCATTTTTTGAGTTTGTTTAGCTTTTGGTTCGACTGAATGTATACTATCTCAACCTTATTGAATACAGTAAATAAATGTTAGTACAACTGATCCGAACTCCGGAATGAATAGTGACGACCATTTTGGATCGTGTTCTTGACATTTAGGACACATTCTTCGTGTTTCGGACCGGTTCCTCGCATTCCGGAATGCAATTTTTTGTTCTGAAATACTAAGTTTTGATGTATAACTAGTGATGAGGCTCGTGCGTTGCATGGGTTAGATTTTTTTTGTTCATGTTTGGTGTGTTACAAAAGATGAAACTGAAACATATTACAAATACATCTATACACAAAAGTAAATGATTAAAATTCATTAAAAATACTTAAACATTTAGCAAACGAAACTAAATTTAAAACATAACAAAAAAAAAGAATCTCATAAGAATTAAAATGGTGAAATTAGAAGCCAAATGCAAACGAATTCCCCTAGTAAAATTAGAAACAAAAAAAAATCTTAACATCAGCCTACAATCGCTGACTGTCCCACCCTTCTGTATCAAAACAAACCAATTCAAATATCAAAACAGAAAAGATATTCATGATATAAAGATTTAAAATTTCATAATGTAAATTATACCAGCATATCAGAGAACAAAACCATTTAAGATACACAGATGCAGAACCTCACACAACCATTCATGGCAACACACAGTAACTGTAGCGCCCAGTTCCTGGTATGTATTTTCATAAGAATTATTCATTTTTGCAAAGGGACTCGACGAGTTGGAGGCCCCAAACTCGTCGAGTAGGAACTGATCTTTTTGGGACGTGGGACTTGATGTCTACTCGACGAGTCGAGAAGCCTCGACTCGACGAGTAGGGCTGCCAGAGTGAAACCCTAATTTTCGGGGTTTGCACCCTATTTAAACACCTTAACACCCCCATTGCAGCCTCCCTCATCGCCTCCCTTGGTCCAGAAAACCCTAATTCGAGATCTTAAGCTTTGTGAGTGTGTGTGAGTGAAAAAGGAGTGATTCTTTGGTATTTTCTTGAAGGAGTAGAAGCTAGAAGTTTTTGGTTGAGGGAAGGAGCTTTGGATCCAGAAGAAGAACTTCATTTCCAGTTCACTTGAGGTATAAAGTCTATACCTTGTCTATTTGTTTACTTGATCTCTTCATGGGGTAGTTTAGGGCCATTTGGAGCATATTATGGAACCATTTGTGGATGCAAGCATGTTTTGGGGTAACAAATTCAGATCCAGAGTCTTTGAGGGACTCCATGGCATAAAGGTGCCAACTTTATGGCTATGGGAGTCCCATGCATCATTTGAATAACTTTTTAGGGCCTTTTGAGCTAAATACCCCATGCATAAACGTAAAGTTCGAAACTTTACGTGATATATCGACCCTAAGAAACTAGATCTATGTTTTAGATGCATTAAGTCCGACTAGAATCGACTGTATGGATTTTGACCATGGGGGACTCGACGAGTTGTTCATACAACTCGGCGAGGTGGGTCGTGGTCCCCCAACCTTTTCTGTTACTGAGTAATCTCGTTGAGTCTAGGAGATGACTCAGCGAGTTGGTCATGTTTTGGGTTTAAGGATTGAAGAACTCGACGAGTTCAAGGAGGAATTCGGCGAGTTATGAGCAAAATGTCCCGACTCTGTATTAAGGAGAACTCGACGAGTTCAAGGAGGGACTCGGCGAGTTGTGGGTAAAAGGTCCTGATTATACTATGAGCATGAACTCGACGAGTTCATGCAAGGAATCGACAAGTAGGATCAGGATTTTAGGGTTTTATGGATTATGGAACTCGACGAGTTGATGGACCAACTCGGCGAGTTGAGTCAACTAGGATGTTGACTTTGACTTTGACCATTGACCAGAGTTGACCCTTAAAGGGGTTATGAACATGAAAAAGTAATTAAATGAGATTATC